AAAAAAATTCCTGTCTGTTAATTCCATCATCCTTGCCATATCTCACCATATTTTTGGCCTTTAATAGGTCTCCTAATTTTTTCCTGATAACTGGACATAATGGACTAGGTAAAAGGCACTGCTCTGAATAGGCTTTTTATAAAACAGTGACCAAGTGCTGGAGGAAGGGAAGCATTCTGTAGTCCTATGACTCAACCGCAGTCTTCAGTGTTTCTGTGTGCCCCGCAAATGCTTCTCATTCTCTCCTGTCCTCTCTACTTGCCGAGTTTTTATTTGCATGATAGTTTGTGAATTACCAAAACACAACTTAACTTTCTTTTTAAAGTATTAATATTTATGCAGTTGATTGTTCTCAAATCATTTAATTCTTGTCTCCTGTCCTCTCTAGATGGCACAGGGACAGTACAGTGGGCTGGACCTCTCGAATTATTTCCTCTCCTCCACATGGAAGCCTAGAGGGGGCTGGAGTTGGGTATTTGCCTTCCATTAGGTCAGTTTAGCTCTGATAAAAATCCCAGCAGGTTAGGCTCTGGTTAAATTTTAAGTTTCCCTTGAGGACAGATCTTGTTAAAGAACAGAATGCTCTGGCACGTTTCAAAATGGTGTCTTCTCTCCCCTCCTGGAAACTAGAGGGGATTTTTCTCTGCCTTTACTATGAGAACCTGTAGAGCTCCAGGAGGTAAAATGCACCGAAGTGGACCCCCTTCCCATGACTGGGTCCCCTTGTGTTTTTCTCTGTCAGATTTGTGCACACTGAGCCTCCAGCAATTCATTAGTTACAGCTCTGGGGCCCCTACCCTGACACGGATCCCTGCAGAGCTTTCTGCTTGTGGGCTTCTGCCCTGTTCTTGCCTGTCACTCTCTCCAGTTGTGGGGGCGGGGAGGGGGTGGAGGGCAGGGGTGTGCCCTGTAATCTGATATCTTACCGGTCTAAGAAGAGTTGTTGACTCTGCAGTTTGTTCAGCTTTTTTGTTAGGATGGAGTGGCCCCTTCCCAACTTCTTACAGGCTGGACTGGAAACACGTGAATTTCATTTTTAATGGAGGAATGACTAAAAGAATCTTGTGCCTAGGAAACAGAGTGTTCCTGCAGGGGACAGTGTGTCTGCCTTCTTCCTGGCTATAATGTTTCTGGCCTTCTTCCACACCTACTGAAATTTGTTTCATTGTATCACAGCAATGAATTATTACCAAATCTGGATTTGGAATATCCTATCTACATCTAGCACAACTGGTTTCTGTGATTATTCGGTTGGTTGATTCCCCCACCAGACTGGAGCGCGGCATCTAGGGAGGTGGTCTTGCCTCCTGTATCGGGGCATCTCTCGGGAGTACTGGGCCGCCGCCAATCACCAGGAGCCCTTAGAGTCATCTCCGCTTTCATAAGAAACACACAAAGATGACCTCTATTGACCAAAGGAAGACACTGCAGTTACTCTCCTTCCTTCCATGATCAACATGATCCCTGCCAGTTTCCCGGCACTTCACGCATGTTATTACGCTGCTTGTCTCTGGATTTACAATATTGACACCTACAAGGTGGGCATCATCGCTCCCACTTTAGAGGTGAGAAAAGTGGGGTTGAGAGACGTGAATTGATTCCCTGAGTTTCTGCAGCGTAGGAAGCGTTGCTAAAATCCACCCCAGGTCTGTCCAAGGCCAAAGGCTTGCTCTGTCCACCAGTCCCCTGCTACTGAGTGTGGTCCAAGGACCAGAGCATGGGAACACGGGGAGTATTAACAATACAGACTTCACAGGGTGCCTGGGTGGCTTAGTGGGGTAGGCGTCCGACTCATGGTTGTGGCTCTCGTCACGATTGGCTCGTGTCATGATGGGCTTAAGTCATGATCTTGGGGTCCTGAGACTGGAGCCCCGCGTAGGGCTCTGTGCTCAGCGGGGAGTCTGCCTGGAAGTCTCTCTACCCCTTTCCTTCTGCCCCTCCCCCCTCAAATAAATAAATCTTAAAAAAACAAAACAAAACCCAAAACCTTAATACAGACTTCAGGCCCCACCCCAGACCTACTGAATCAGAATTTGTACCCTAAGGAGATGAAAATTTTGTCTGTACCTTAAAGCTTGAGGAGCACCCTGACTCCCAGGAAGCGGTAGGGGAATCCTAGTTTGTCTTCTTGAGGAGACCCTGAGTTCTCTTATTTATTCTGTGACTGTGGATTTCTGGCTACAAAGCACTCTGTCATTTTTCATGCACTGTCTTTACATAGGCTCTCTTTTCCCCTGGGAGGTAAATAAGGTCAGTGATTATCATTCTGATTTTAGAGCTGGGAAAACAGAAGCCCAGAGGGGTGAAGCACTCTGCCCAGAGCTACTAGCCGGCAGGCATCCCAGCACTTGACATGGATTGGCTGGGAGGACGATCCAAGGGTACCAAAATCTGGTATTGGCGCCAGCATAGGGATCGAAGGTTCCTGAGCTTGCCTTCAGGGGTCAGAAAGCACAAGGCTGGCTCTGAGAGAGCCTTCTGCTCCCTTGTTTATCCGTGCACGATGAGTGCCGTCTGACTCCAGTTTTACTACCTGTGTGTCCCTGAGCAAACTATCTGATAATTGCTCTTAGCCTTCTCTTCAGAGCTATTGTAAAGATCAAAAGAGGATGATGCAGGGGCGCCTGGGTGGCTCAGTCAAGCGTCTGCCTTCCACTCAGGTCATGATCTGAGGGTCCTGGGATTGAGCCCCGAATAGGGCTCCCTGCTCCACGGGAAGCCTGTTTCTCCCTCTCCCTCCCCTCCCCACTCGTGCTGTCACTCTCTCTCTCTCAAATAATCTTTAAAAAAAAAAAAAAAAGGACGTTGCAGGTGAAGTGCTGGCACGAGGTCAGAACCCTAACAAATGGTCGTTGCTATTCATTCATTTGCTCCACAACTATAGGACCCGTGCTTACTACATGCCAGGCTCCGGGCCAAGATACCAGATGGACAAAAGTGTTAAAAAGAAAACCACAGGCCCAAGGTAGAGTTGTGTGCCCCCGGGGTAGCAACCTGAAACTTCAGTGCAGTTTCAGCCTCCCCCAGAAATGTCTTAACTGATGAGCCAGGAATTTCTGGTCAGCACCAAGGAGGCAATCTGTCACCTGGGCCCTCTCCATCCCCCAAAGGAAGATGAAGTAGTCCACCTAAGATCCCCTGCCCCTTCCTTTAAGGAAAGGTGACTTTGCCTGAAGCAATCCTTTCTTTTCTTTTGCTAATAACCATGTTGTCCCACTCCCCGTCCCTTAAACACCTTCCATTTTGCACAACTCCTTGGAGCATCTCTGTACTTGCTAGATAGGATACTGCCTGATTCATGAATTGCCTAATAAAGCCTATTTGATCTTCAATTTTACCCAGTTGAACTTTTTTTTTTTTTTTTTTTTGAGCGAGGAGGGGCAGATGGAGAGGGAGAAAATTTTAAGCAGGCTCCATGCTGAGCACAGAGCCCGATGTGGGGCTCCGTCTCACAGCCCTGAGATCATGACCTGAGCCAAAATTGAGTTGGACATTTAATTGACTGAGCCACCTAGGTGCCCCTGAATTTTGTTTTTTGAACAGGGGATTTGGCCTTGCTCCCATGGAGATTACAGTGTGACGGGGAATCTATGATCAAGTGCTTATAAGTATGGTGAACAAGATGGGGAATGTCTTGAGTATAATGAATGAATGGATGAATACGGCTGTTTGCCTTTAGCTTAGGTGTAACCCTTCCTTCTCTCTGTTCACCCAGAGAAAGTGAAACCAAACCTCCAGCTCTGGTCTCCATAGTCCTGTGTGAAGCATGGCCCAAAGCTGTCTCACCCCTCCAGCCCTTCAAAAATACTAGGCCACTTCAGAAGTATTTTCTCCCTGGAGAGCCCCCACTCCCATTCCCAGGAGGGAAAGGGAATGTGGTGGAAGATGAGCTGGTTAGACTTTACCCTACCGGCAAGTCTCATCCTGGCTGCTCTCCCACACCCAGGTGATACCCCACAGACAATGGCCACTTTTCAGTTCTTCAAATACCAAATACCAAACACGAAATTTTTCCCCACATGAAATTTTTCCCCATGCAGTTCCCATGGCCTGGAAAGATTCCCCCACCTCTCCCCACTTAGTTTATTCCTAGTCATCATTCAGGGGCCAGGTCAAATGCTGCTTCCTCCAGGAAGCCTTCCCTGACTCCCCAGACAAGCTTCAGGCCCCCAAAGAGAACATTCTATATATTCTCTTCTTGGCATATATCACAACTTGCAAGTATGTACTTGTGTGACCACTTGCTTGGCATCAGTCTTACCCAGGAGTCTGAGAGTGGAGCTGCTGTTTTGCTGAGTATTTTCTTGCCGGCCCTGAGCACTGCGTGGCTCTATAAACAGGGCCTGCTCAACACATGCCTCTGAAGAGATGAGGGTGGTTGTTCAGGACTTTGAAGCTCGTCCCAGAATGTGAGGTCAGTGAGACACACAGCACAGAGACTGGTCTGAAGCCGTGTGGTGTGGGGAAGACGTGAGGAGGACTGGAACCAAGGCAGAGGCAGCGGGACAGGAGGTTGGTGGTGGTGGTGGGGGCACTGATGGGATGGCGAAGAGAGGGGAGGCATCAAGAGCCACTTGTGTGTTCCCATCTCGGTGAAGGGGGCATGGCAGCACTCATGCCTGAGACAGGGGTCAAAGTCGGTAAGGCCAAAAGTCCTCCGCCAACCCCTCCCCCACCCAGCCTATCTCCCTCCCATCAGTGGCCTGGACTCTGTCCCCAGCACCAGACGGAGGCCACACAGCTCAGCAGCACAGCCCCTTTTTATTAACCATCCTCCCTGGTATGAATGTGCACAAGTAGAAAAGAAACAGTAAAATACTGGAGGGGAGGGCAGCGCAGGGGGCTCCTGAGGTGAGGCCAAGTGGCCAGATTCCAACTCCTTCTCTGGACCGGTCTCTTTCTGGGCGGTGCCCCCCCATCCCCCACCCCTCGGCTGAAATCCAACACCAGGAGGCTGTGCAGCCCTGCTGACCGGGTCCTAATCTTGCTGGGGTTGAGGGAAAACAGCAGCGAGGGTCTGGCCCGAGGGCCCAGGGGCGCGGGATGTGAGGGATGGCTGTCCTCCAGTCTGGAAACTGAGCGGAAGCCCAGCCGACTGCCAGCCAGCCTCTGCTTCTGTGATCTCAGCGCCCTGAGTGGTAGGCTGCTGGGTGGGGGGTCCCACTCACCCCAGCTACAGAGGGACCAAGGAAATGCTGGGAGTTCCAGGTGGAGGAAGCCCGAGTCAATGCCTGGGATTGGTCAGAGTGAACAGCCAGAGAGAGAAAGGGAAATGCAGACCAGGAGAACGAACAGTGTCCTCCTCACCTCGCCTGGGGCACAATCCAGTGTAACCTCAGGCCAGGCCTGGCAGACCCCTGGAGCTGACAAGAGGAGGTCGGGCACACCCCCTACTACCCCCCAGGCTTATGTGAGCCAGAGAGACTGAGCTAGGAAAATGGGGTAGGGGCTGAAGAAATGACACGGGGAGGAAGCAGACAAGATCTGGACTGGAAGGCAAACTTCCAGACTGGTGGGACTACGCTCAAGTGTTGCCTAGTCAGTGACAACTCAGCAGCTCCTCTTCTCCGTGGGCTATCCTGCTAGGGTGACAGGGGAGAGGTGACTAGAGGGCAGGCAGAAGAGAAGCTACCAGAGAGGCTCACCCTGAGCCTGACCAGCCTGGCCCGCGTGGGTGTGGAAGGCTCCCAGCCTTCTCTATCACCCACCCTGCGCCTCTGAAGCGAGGGGCCCCCCTGGAATCGGAGAGAGAGAAGCAGCTGTCCTGCCTAGGGAAAAGCCAACTGAGGAGTCCTCACAGCACCGTGGCGGGGCGGCACGGCCCCCGGCCTCGGGTTCGGAGCCGGGCTGGCACCGTTTGTAAACATTAGACTTGATGATGTCTGGGGATGGGGGAAGACAGGGATGCCTGGACCCTCAAGTTTGGGGAAAGAGGCCCCAGGATGGGGTGAACAGGGCCTGACTCGATTTACCTCTGTGCTACCTTTGGAAGTTGCCAGATCCCAGAGAAGCCACTGCGGGCGAAGTAGCTGACAAATTGGAGCAGGCACTGAGTCCCGGGGTAATAAGCACAGCCCCTGCTCAGGACGGGCTGCTCTGTGGAGGATGGTGGTGGCCCTTTGCCCACACTCTTTCTCCAAAGTCAGGCTGGGTTCTTTTTTTCGGAGATGTTCTGACCCTCTTCCCCCATGTTTTTCAGGCATGGAGAAGTTGAGCGTTGGAGGACAGGGAAGGTTCTTCTGTGACACGAGACCTCCTCCCCTAATCCTCGCACTGCCGGGTTTGAGCTGTCCAGAGGTGTGAGGCCTGCTTTCACTCCAGAACTGTCCCTGGAAAAGGATGTCCAGATGTCATTCCAGCAGGAAAGACGAATGATGTTGGACTCAGGGTGGCCCCACAGCTCAAAGAGATGGGTTCCTGGGTCCAGTGGCAAAGGCCATGTGTTGCCTGGGAGGCAGTGGTTATGCCAAGAGATCCATAAAGATGGCGTTGGCTGTGGTCTGGCCAAAGATGAAGGCTCCCAGGGTGACCAAGAGGACACCATAACTGACCAGCGCCCACCAGCTGTAGGGTAGAGGGAGAGAGGGGCCTAGTCAGTTAACCCACACTTGACTTTGCAGACTTTTTTAAAAAAATTTTTTAAAGATTTTATTTATTCATTTGAGACACAGAGAGAGAGAGAGAGAGAGAGAGAGAGAGCATGAGCAGGGAGAGAGGCAGAGGGAGAGGGAGAAGCAGGCTCTCCATGGAGCAAGAAGCCCGACGTGGGGCTCAATCCCAGGACCCTGGAATCATGACCTGAGCCAAAGGCAGACACTTAACCATCTGAGCCACCCAGGCGCCCCTGTAGACTTTTATATATATATATGTAGTGTATATATATATATATATATATATATATATATGATGTACATATATATATATACATATATATATATGAAGTACATATATATATATACACATATATATATGTACTTCATATCTATATAAGTATATACATATCAGTTAATTATTGTAATTACTTATACCACTTCTCCCGTGGGTAGAGCACTTCCTACTTCTAAATGACTTTTCATACAAAGGTATGTGGGGCCAGTCCAGATCCCTAAACTTGGTTAGGAGACCAAGACCTAATGGGATTCACTAACTACTCACAGCAAGCCAAGGGCAGAACCAGGATTAGAACACATGTGTCCTGATGGAAATATGTTCAGAAAAAGCAGTTCACATGGAGTGTGATCCACTCCATTTACAAAAAAAAGCAGACATCTGCAAATCCATGTATCAAAGATAGCAACAGGGCATTATGAGAGTATAGCAGGGTATTGAGATTAAGGGTGATTTTAATTTTCTTCCTTAGACTTGTATTTTTAAAGTTTTCTATAATGAGGGGCGCCTGGGTGGCTCAGTCCATTAAGTGTCTGCCTTCGGCTCAGGTCATGGTCCCAGGGTCCTGGGATCGAGCCCCGCATCGGGCTCCCTGCTCGGAGGGAAGCCTGCTTCTCCCTCTCCCACTCCCCCTCTGCTTGTGTTCCCTCTCTTGCTGTCTCTGTCAAATAAATAAATAAAATCTTAAAAAAAAAAGTTTTCTATCATGAATATTTCTTTTTTTTTGACTGTTATAAAAGTTTATTTAACAAAAAAGTTCAGTATGAAAATGCACACGACCTGATTTTTATATTGTAGTAAAACAGGTACTATGGAGGGGACATGTGGAAGCAGTTGATTTCTTCTGATGAACACACCCATTGTTTATACTCGCTCCAAGGCTTCTAACATGACCATACTATTTCCTCGTATTACCACCATTCCAATATTGTTCTGTCGCCCACTAGTTGCCATCTCCACACATTCATCTATCACAAGATTCATAAACGGATCGAACCCCCGCAATATTCCTTGGACATGTCTGCCACCATTTAATTTCAATGACAATTTCTTGTCCATAAATTTTTTCAACTCCGGAGGGTGAGCTTTGCTCACGGTGTCTACTCCGTGAGCTCAAAGATGCCTCCAAACGGAATTTGTGGCGTCCCACACCTATCATGAATATTTCTTGCACAGTTTTTTAAAAAGCTTGCAACCTGTCTTCAACCTCTGCACTATTCAAAGAAATGTGGATATTAAAACAATGTCATGTTTTTCATGAGACTAACAAAAACTTAAAAGGCTGTTCCATACAATACCGGCAGGGCTGTGGAAAAGAGCGCACTCTCGCTCTCTGCTGCTAGGACTCTGACTGGTACGGCCTTGCTAGAGGGACATTTGAGCCCACGTGCAAAAGTGAAAATGAGCATGTCCCTCCAGCAATTTCCTTCTAAGAACTGATCCTGCCAAGATCCTCAAAACAGGTGTGCCAAGGTGTCCGTGTATAAGAGTATTCATGCATTCATAAAACAGAACACTCTGCAGCCCTCAAAAAAGAGAAGTGGACGGATCTTCTTGTGCTGACAGAGAGTGATCTCCAAGACAAATGGTTAAGTGAAAGAAAGCAAACAGTAGAAAAGTCTAGCATGAAGCCATTTTTGGAAAACCCAAACTAGACACAGAGCCTCACGTGCTTGTGCATACACATGCATGCTTCATGCACAGAGAGCTCTCTCAGGACAAGGGATTGGTGGGGAGTGGGCTGTAGGGGCAAGAGGAACTTCCACATTCTTCTCTGAAGTCCTTCAGTAGCACTGGAACTGTAACAACCAGCATGTGCCACCCATTTAAGAAGGGATTTAGAAAACTCTTATGTTTTTCAAGTATACAAGTCTCTTAACCCCTACCTGTTTTCGGCCCCCCCGTGCCCCTGCCAGACCATCCCTCATCCAGCACTTCCCTGACGGGACCAGAAGGTGCCCTGCTTTACCTGGCCGGCTTGACTTCTTCCATCTCAGAGAGTTTGGCTTGAATGAGGCACAGCCCTGGAAGAGAAGAGGCCCCCCAGGGCTCGGGTGGGCTCCTTCCCTTGGGCCCACCCTCGCCCTTGACCAAGAGGCCGTGGCGGTGAGCGGAGAAAGGCCTGTGTGTGCTCTTCCGGATACCCCACCCCCACTCCGCGCACAGCTGGAGGTCAGCACCCGACAGGCACCCTGTGGGCCGCACGCAGGCCTCAGAGCTCACGGGTTGCAGCGGAAGGTGATTCGGCAGCGGCGCCCACCACACCCGGGGCCCTTCCCAGCGTCCTTCAGAGCAGCTGTGGCCACCACTGCTCCAAGCAATGTGGTGAGGGCTTGCCAGCTGGTCTCCCGGGGAGGAATAAGCTGGGTATAGGCGGAACTCGTGGCTGGGCACATGCGACCATTTCCCAGGGATCTGGCGGCAGACTCGTGTCTGAAGTCTCCAGACCTCTGCATCGGGGTGCCGCCACCAGACCCCGTCACCCTCTGGGCCATCATGGGCTGAACCAGCCCGACCGCTCATCGGCAGGCAGCAACAGATGTGTGAATGAAAGGTTCAGAGTGCAGGCTGTGCACTCAGACAGATCTGGATCAAAAAACCTGCTACTCAATAGTTGAGTCTGTTCCTCCCATCTCCTCCCAACTTCCTCCCATCTCCTCATCAGCAAAGTGGAGAACACATCTGTGCTTTCTTCTCAGGAGGGGCAGGGGTTAGCACAGAGCCCGAGGTGGGTGGCTAATAAGCACTAGCAGGAGAGCAGGGGAGGAGCCGAGGCCGGGAGGCTGTGGGCGCCAGTGCTGCGGGGAGCGGGGGGGGCCCCCACCTGGGAAGACAAAGATGAAGCAGGCGGCCAGGCCTCCAATGACCGAGATGACCTTGCCGATGTCAGGGATGAAGAGCGCCAGCAGCAGGGTGAGCAGGAACCAGACGAGGGTCTGCAGCACGCGCCGCCTCCGCTCCCGCCCCACATCCTCCTCCACCGGCACCCCCTGGTAGCGCAGCCACAGGCCTTCGACCACCGCCCTGCCCACGAAGACAGTGGCTCAGAGGCCCCCCCACTTCCAGTTCCTGGAGCCAGACCTCTGAGCGGGTAGACTGGGGGTATGGCCCTAAGCTCTGAGACTGTTCCCTGTTGTGTGAAACGGGCCTAGCAGGACTCCTCTTGTGGTTGCCATGGGGACTGGCTGGGATGGTGGATGCGATGCGCTTAGTGCCTGGGCTGGCCCAGGATTCCTCTCCCCCACCCCCGCCCCTGGGAACTGATACTATTATTCTCCTTGGGTACCTACAAGGCTGGGTGTTCAGGAAAGGATCCGGACTACAGGTTCTTAGAGCGCTCACAGAAGGTCAAAGGACCATGTTCATAGGGCTTTCAAAAAAGGGGGAGCCCCGGGGGGGGGGGGAAGGGAGTACCCCCATGGGATGGGGAGGGGGCTCACCGCCCACAGAAGTGCAGGATGGGGTAGGAGGTGAGCACACTCAGGATGATGAAGGCACGGGCAACGGCCACAGCCATGTCCTCGGAAGGGTAGGACAGAAGCACGTCGGGGTCCACGGCAGCTCCGAAGGTCAGGAAGCCACAGATGCCTGAGGACAGGGACAAGAGGGCTGGGCAGGGGCGATCCCGGGAGGGTAAGGGGATGGACTGTTGACTCCTGGGTGCAACATCAGATGGCGAGGGCGTTGGGGCAGCTCTGAGGCTAAGAGGGTGTCGGGCTGGGACCCGAGGCCTTCTCCCTGACTTCTCCCATTCCATCCCCACTGCCGCATTTGTCATCTTGAGCTTGCCCAGCACATTCCTGTGTCAGAGCATCTGCATGAACATTCTGTCTGCCCAGCCCTTCATACCCCCATCCCCTCACCATTCAGGTCGCAGCTCAGATGTCCGCTCCTCGGAGAACGCGTCCACCCTGCCCATCCACCATCACCCCCGGCCCTGGGTGCTCACTCACACCACCCTGCTCTATTTTCCTCAGAGCACTACTCTCTCTCTGCGTTTTCTTTTTTAAACACTTGTTCATCACGTATCTCCCCAGCCAGAACACGAGCCCCAGGAGGACAGGGACTCTGCCCATTTGCCTCTCGTTTCTGGCTTTGCCTTCAGAGGTAGAACAGTGCTGGCCCCCTAACACCTGCGGAAGGAATCACAGGACCTGGACTTCCTGGTCTTCTGGTCCTGCTCTGTCATCCAAACCATTCCCAGCATGGCGCCCAGGGCCATTTTTTGCCGAGACGTGCCGCTGCTTGAAATGCTTCCTCTCTGGCTCCCAACAGTCCTCAGGCCCAATAGGACCTATCCATTCCCTGTCTGGCCCCACTGCCTGCCACCCGCCCCCAACTCAGCCCACTCCAGACCCTTCTGTCCCTGCCGCAGGGGCTTGGCATTTTCTGCCTCTGTCTGGAATGCTCTTCTCCCAGCCCTTCAGATTCTGGCTCCTCATCACTGGGGCCCCCCCAGATGTCACCCCCTCAGAGAGGAGCCTTCTGTGAACCACCCCCTTTCTGTGATCCATGGTGGCCGTCCCCACCTCTCCCAGTCCCACTCACATCTTCCCTGTTTGACTGTCACGGGGGCACTCGCCACTGTCTAGAATGCCTTACTGATTCCTGTTTTACTCTGTAAGACTCCCTCTGCCTAGACCGTCAATTCAACGAGAGCAGGACCATGGCTGTCAATCTTCACAGCATCCTCCATGCTGGGAACGGTTCCCGGCACTTAGTAGGCACTGATTGAGAGCTGCTGAATGAATGAATACATCTCTCTCATTTGGGTGGGAGGAGGCCCAAGGCAGCCCAGGTTCAAGCCAATGCCTACAGAAGTGTTTTGATATGCTGGGAGTGCAGGGCTATCCCCAGGAGAGCTGCGCCAGAGGACACGGAGACAAAGGGGGAGATGGGGAGCACCCCAAGTCCAGCCCTCGGAGGGGAGCACTCACCTGTGCCCATGTAGACAGCGAGGGCGATGACCATGGCGGCTGTCACCACCCCACCCCAGGTCTTCACCTTGGGCCGCTGCATGCTGTTGAAGACGGGCACGCTGCTCACATGGCACTGTTAGGGTGAAGATCACAGTTATGGGGGGAAGTAACCCCTTCCCCGGTTTCCAGAGGGAGGTACTTTGGGGACAAAAGCCACGGGACAAGTCCCAGGGCCCCGACTCTGTCTTTCCTCCCAGGATGTCCCCATCCTCCCTGTAATGTGGGTTCCAGCCCGGGGTGGGGAGCAAGCTGAGAGGCCGAGACAGGAACCTTGCAACCGGCACCTGAAATCCGAAGCAGATGGTGGGCATGGCATTGAACACAGCCACCCAGGAAGCTGGCCTGTGGACAAACACACGAATCTGCTGCCTGTGCACCCCCCAGAGCCACCGACCGCCCCATGCCCTTCCTCTTCACTCAGCCAACCATGACCCTCCCCCACCACTATTCTACAAATTCAACCTAAGTCTGGAAACACGTCTCCATTTCACAGGTCAGTAAACTGAGGCTCGGGAAGACCCTCCAGGGACCAAAATCCCGAATTTCTGGCTCCTGCACTGGGGTTTCTGCTTTCCTTTCTTTCTCTTTCAAAAACAGGAAACTTTTTTTTTTTTTTTTT